CCCCGCGGCACGATTTCGCCCTTAGATTTGATCGGAATCGCCGGCGGTGGACGGGCGAAACTAATAGCAGGCGGCGGCGAAAGGAGGTGGGGAAAGGGCGCGGGCTGAAATGTCCCTCCCGCCAACCGCTTTCCTAGGATACGGGGCACCGTAGGGGCGGGGCGGAAATCTGCGTATTCGCGAGTTGGGGTTGAGATTTTGCCGCACCCCTCAAATTTTTTTACAGGGCGGACGCGTTTACGGGGTCTGGTCGGGCAGCTTTTTCCGCGCCGACCCGCATTTTGACGGTTATTTTGCGGGTCACGGCATTCTACAGGGTCTACTAGAGATGCTCTAAGAACATCTCTCCGTAAAACTCCGGCAAAGTGCGGGACGGTTTACTGGACAGGCCAAAAAGAGGCTCGATTAGATCCGCGAAAAAGGGCTCGGTTGGTAAAATTTTTAAAGGACACACGTAACCCACCCCCCTTTCTGTTATATATTCATGCAACGATACTTTTTAGGCCCCAATCCACCTCTGTAGCGAACCTTCTCCCTTCGGCGAGAAATCCTTTCCCCTCCGGCAGCCATTTCCGGTGCCTCCGGCCACTGTACCTCTCTGTCGATATTGACCGTAGGTGCATGGCATGGTGGTGGCGACGATTTCGGTCATCGCGGGAGGGGGACTTCGGGTGCCGCGGTGGAGGCGGCGCGCGCGGAGGCTCCATCGCCCACAAGCGCCGGAACGACGACAAGGCCGGGGGCTCTGGCCTCCGCCCTCCCGTGTCAGACAGGAAACGGGAGGCGGCGCGCACGCGCGGCGCTAAGTCCTGTAGCGCCGGTGCGAGCTCGCGTGCATGGAAGATCTTCCGGCGTTGTGGCCGGCTCTTCCACCCGGCGATCCAGTGGCAGCGCATGGCCGAGCGGGCATGGTTTGCGGCAAGGGCCGCCGCCGACGCCGAAGATGCAGTTGTGCAGCTACCAGTGCTTTGGGAGGATTACCAGCTCCAAACCCGGATCTCTGATTCGCTGATCTACGACACGATTCACGGAGGAAAGTTGCTGCCCGCCGAGGTCATCTCCAGCGGTGAGGACGGCGAGGGCGACGATGGCGACTCCGACGTATAGAACCCCGGTGATGTTTAATTAGAAGTAGACCCCCGCCCACCAATGGCGGCGACAACGGCTCCAGCAAGGACTCTGGCAACGAGTAGATCCCCTATGTTATGTTTCGGTTTTATGTTTAATTATGGTTTATGCTAAGACTCCCCTATGCTATGTGTGATGAACTCCCGTATGTTATGCTATGTTGGTTTGATGAACACCGGCGAGATGTTTTTAGCGAGAAGTAGTTTGTTTAAATTTGTGTCATATGTAGAATCGCTATGCGATATCTGTTCTTGTAGCATGCACAGCGTCCTGCAAAAATCGTTTACGAGGTACCATAAACGGGTTTTTCAGACCAACGGCTTGCAGGATCTGCTAGAGATGCTCTAAGAGCATCTGTAACAGATCCGGTAATTCATTTACGGGATATTGTAATTCGATTTTACAGTAGACACGACAGAACATATCCTGTAACATGGACAACATAATTTAAACATAAATACTTCGCGCCACAATACTTCGCTAGAATTAAGACAGAGTTCATGACAAACTTGACACATACGGGAACCTAAATCTAACTACTCATCACCATCCTTCTTGACATAGAGATGGTACTCCATCAAGGAGTTGGAGAGGACGAAGGCAAGGTCGTACTCCTTCGCCGCCTCCAGCCACGCCGCAGCACCATCTTCTTTGGTGGCGGCCGCCTCCTTCGCCTCAACACCCCTCGGAGTTGCTTGGTCGTTGGCCAGAAGATTCCGTGGAGGCGGTAGAAGTTCCACCACTCCCGTGGAGCTCGAAAATTGATGTGTATTCGAGTCATAGGAGCTGCTGGTAATCAGCGATATGCTCGTATTGGTGATGTTATTGTTGCTGTAATCAAAGAAGCATTGCCCCAAATGCCTCTAAAAAGATCCGAAGTAATTCGAGTTGTAATTGCTGCTTGAGCCGTACGAGATGAAATTTTCATATACGGCTTTTAGAGGGGGACTCGGGTTAGTTACCTATCTCAATAAAGTATATGATTGGTTTGAGGAACGTCTTGAAATTCAGGCAATTGCAGATGATATGATGCGCATATAACTATCATAAAAACATCTACAAATATTACATGGTAAATTAAAAACCAGGTACTTTTGTTTTGTTGTACACGTGATTTAACCGACAAGAATATGTTGTTACACTCATTATGCATGTTACTTATACTCAGAAACGGAGGGGGTCAAAGAGTCAACAAGAGAGGGCACTTGGAGATGGAAGATGGAGATGCATGTACGTTCAATTCACAGGAAAAAATACTCACTGCATGCGCCATGTCAATTCATCCATCACGCATGCAACATGGGCCACAACGTTCAAGTGCACAAGACCATGAACGTTGGACTTTGCTCCCAGGAGAAAGAAAAACAACCACGTACATGGTCTTCGGATCGTTTGGTACGCCGTGCAACACTTGGTCACCAAAGCATTAGCTAACAAGCCGTGTACGCCTCCCGTACGGGCTCAGGATGACCCATCGCCCAACAATCAAAGGCGGCGGCCGTGTTTAATAAAGGGACTGTCTATTTAGTATTTGACTGTTTTTTAATTCGAGAACATTCAAATTTCCGGACAAATAAACAACTAACACCTGTATGTCCAAAACCTTCCACCCCTACAACTGTATGTTTTGTATTTGAAAGAAAACTGTTCGGGCTAATCTCTGACCCGGTTCACCTGCACACAGCTCTCCTATTCCAATTGAAATAGGACGATCCACAGGTCAGCAATACTCCTATTCCAATTCATTAAAAAAAAGACTCCTACTCCAATTGTTCGCTCTCTTCACCTCTTGCATGAGCAAATTAGGAGGATCTTTCTTCATCTACAAAAGAGACAGATCAATAGCAAACTGTAAATTTGGGAAACTATATGAACTTTGCAAGCTACATGTAGCAATTAAAATGACATGAACATGGAAATTACACTAAAATTCTGACATGGTTTACATGTAAGCGGGTAAAAACAGTGTAAATAGAAGACATATCAACAACATCTGTAAATCTGGGAAATTACATAACCTTCGCATGCTACATGTAGCAGGAAATTACTCTAAAATATTGAGGTAGTTCCAATGTAAAATCTAGGGTAATTTTCAGAAACATTCAGTAGCAGAAACTAATGACAATGCAAGTAAAAACGGATGACACTAAAAATACCCAAGAGTTACACTGAAAGTGACCAAGATTTACAGTGTAAATCCCCCTATAAATTACATAGTACATACACGGTAATTACACTGCAAGCACACAAGGAATTACACCTGTAAAAACTGATGAGATTACACAAAATTACAGTGTAAGTGAGCAGGAATTACATTGTGAAACCCAAGAATCCAAAGCTTGTAATTACAGTGCAAGTGACCAAGAATTACATTGTAAAACCTCTATAAAATACAATATACATACAATGTAATTACACAGCAAGTACCCATGGCTTACACTGTAATACCCATGCTTTACGGTGAAAGTGCTTACAGTGCAATACCCTCAAAGAATACAGAAAAAATACACAGGGAATTAGAATGAAATTATGCAGGGATTTGCAGTGATGAAGCTATGCGGTAAAAACCCAATGAATTACAATAAAACTTCAGAGCTACTTCACTATAATTTACAGTGCATGTTCCGAGGATACACTTGGAATACCCCAACTATTGGAAGCAAAAATACATAAAGTACACTGTTTAAGTACCCAGCAAAATTCATCAATATCTAAACGGTTTGTTGCTCAATATTATGTTGATACTGGCATTTTTTGTTCAAATATGCCAGATGAGGAGCATGATAAAGAGTTAAAGACAACAACTGAAGATGATCTATTGAGATTGTCACAGGA